AAAAAAAAAAGCCCATGACCACAGTGTGGAAGTGGCTGCTTTAAATGTTTCTGGCATCACAGCAGCCTGTGGTGTGTGCTCCTCCCCTGGGGCAGAGACTGGTCCCCGGGGCAGAGGGGATGGCTGAGAATTCCAAGGTGTTTATTCAAAGCAGAAGCTCGAGAGCCTCCTCAGCAAAAGTCTGCTGTGGCTGCCGAGCTCGATGCTTGTCACTCAAGTGGTTCCAGATTGAGGAGTACAGTCAGTTCTGTGGGCATTTAAAGTAGGTATTTGTTTATATTTAGCTTAGGAAGTATGTTTTCTAATTAGGAAAGAACAGACTTATCTCTGCCTGTATAGATTGTCTCTCCATATTCTCATATTTACATCCATTAAAATGTTTCCATTTATTTTTGTAAGCACTGAGCTCTTCATGTCATCTTGTAAAAGCAGGAGGAACACGTTTTGGGTGAATTTTATTAGCAGTAATGCATACTCAAAGGTCATGATCTAGGAACCAGGAGAACAAAACACATGGTTCGGGTTTTGCATTGATTGCAGTAACCCTGTATGCTTTTAAAAATCTTTTTCTCTTTTGTCTGGGAAAGGTGGAGGAGTTCTTTGCTCCTTTTTCTCTTTGGACAGCTGTGATGAATTTTTTATTTGACCAGTAAGCCACAGGCCACACCGTGTTTCCAAACCACATTTGCCCTCTGATGTCCTTGCTGATGTTTACAGGATGTTGAATGGGTTTGCATGGTGGCTAGTACTGCTGTTTTTTGTTGGCAGTCTGTGGATTTTGCCCCAGTAAGTTTTATGTACTGTATTTTACTAGCATCTGCATATTATATGGCTTCTCTTTCTTATCTGTTACACAGGCAGTCATGGCCAACCAAAATTGATGTACCTCAGGACCTGGAGGATGACCTCACAGCCACCCCTTTGTCCCACGCGACTGTCCCCCAGTCTCCTGCTCGTGCAACCGACAACGTCCTTAACGGCCACAGGAGCAAAGGCCTGTGTGACTCGGCTAAGAAAGAGGACCTCCCTGAGCTGGCTGGGCCAGCACTCTCCACGGTGCCACCCACAAGCTTGAAGCCCACAGCCAGCGGGCGCAAGTGTCTCTTCAGGGTGGAAGAAGACGAAGAGGAAGATGAGGAGGATAAGAAACCCATGTCCCTCTCAACACAAGTGGTTTTACGACGGAAGCCATCAGTGACCAACCGCCTGACATCTAGGAAAAGTGCTCCTGTCCTCAACCAGATCTTTGAGGAAGGGGAGTCTGATGACGAGTTCGACATGGATGAGAACCTGCCTCCCAAGCTGAGCAGGTTAAAAATGAACATTGCTTCCCCGGGCACAGTTCACAAACGCTACCACCGGAGGAAAAGCCAGGGCCGGGGCTCTAGCTGCAGTAGCTCAGAGACCAGTGACGATGACTCGGAAAGCCGCCGGCGGCTCGATAAAGATAGCGGGTTCTCGTACTCCTGGCATCGCCGGGACAGCAGTGAGGGGCCCCCTGGCAGCGAGGGGAATGGCGGGGGCCAAGGCAAGCCAAGCAACGGCAGTGGCGGGGCGGACAAGGCGAGCCCCAGCGAGAACAATGCGGGCGGGGGCAGCCCCTCCGGCGGCTCGGGCGGCAACCCCAACAACACATCGGGCACCACGCGCCGCTGTGCGGGCCCCGTCAGTTCCGTGCAGCTGGCCTCTCGCAGCGCCGGCGAGCTCGTGGAGAGCCTGAAACTCATGAGTCTGTGCCTCGGCTCCCAGCTCCATGGCGGCACCAAGTACATAATCGATCCTCAGAACGGCTTGTCGTTTTCCAGTGTGAAGGTCCAGGAGAAGTCCACCTGGAAAATGTGCATCAGCTCCACAGGGAATGCGGGGCAGGCCCCTGCCGTGGGCAGGATAAAGTTCTTCTCTGACCACATGTCGGCCCCCACCACTGATTTGGAGCGGATAAAGAGCAAGAACCTGAAAAACAACGTGCTACAGCTACCTCTGTGTGAAAAGACCATCTCTGTGAACATCCAGCGGAGCCCCAAGGAGGGGCTGCTGTGCGCCTCCAGCCAGGCCAGCTGCTGCCATGTGATCTGAGGGCGGCTGCAGCCCGCGAACCGTCCTGCCCAGAGCTGTGAAGACCGGCTCGCTTCACTGTTCCCTTTTCTGTGTTACTCTCTCACGGTGGGCGCTAGGAGCAATTATTTATTACATTGTCATTTGTTCGCCTGACGATGTGACAATGCATGGTCTTTGTGCATGCTGCTAGACACTTCTTTTCCAGCTGAAAAGTCTATTGTGTAATTTTTACTTTTGTAATTTTAATGTGGATCAGGATTAAACTAAAATGTATATTTGGAACCTAATATAAATGGAGCACTTAGAAATTTGACGTTCTGCACTTAATCTAGAGAGAGAGAGAGAGAGAGATGCTTTTGTTTCCTTGTTAAAAATCTAAATTCCTGTCCTGACCTGTGATACGGAGACTCCGTGCTCTGAGGCACACTCTGGTGTCTGAGGCAGAACCAAAGCAATAACATTGTGATGGGACAGGCCTGGGGCGGCGTGCCAGTGCGGCTCAGCCCCGGGCCTGTGCAGAGCCGAGGACAGCAAGTGTCTGCACTGAGAACCTTAACACTATGATTTGAACATACCCACACCTGTTTGTCTTAAGCTATAGTGTGAAAACAAGTTTGGGCTCTTAAAATTTAACGGAAAAAAGATTTTCTTGTTTTTGTAATAGGTGAGATACTTAGATTTGTAAGGCAGCTTCCCCTGTAGTGATAAATTAATTCCAAGCAGACAATCTTATTTTGTAATGTGATGAAGTGAATTGATGATGTCTTAACTCTATTTATAGAGTGTATGTCTGTCTAACAGAACAAAACGATGCTCTGTGTAAACCCTTCCTGTGGGGCACACACAGGAGTTCCTGTAAAACCATGCAGATGGGAGAGACTGTAAGGCCCAGTGTGGACACAGAGGTGCACACAGACATTGACAAAGTCTAAACCCCTTCAATTAGAAACAGAAAACAAAACAAAACAAAATTATTGGGATCTTTTTTTAGGAGTTTGACAATTACTTGTCTCTTATTTCCATTCTTTTACATGCTTTGACTCAGCTATGAAAAACACAAAAAAGGGTAAAATTCACACATGCAAAAAAAAAAAAAATAACACAAAGCTTGCTTTGTGTTTCTTTTTTCTTTTCTGTTTTTGCTGGAAGTGTTTTTCACGTTGCCTTCCTGCCAAAATAATAATCAAAGAACTCTTGCTTTAAACTATTCCTGTGCAAAGACTACTTTTGACCAGATAATCATCTTTTGTGGCATTTTATCTTGTTAGGACACAGTATATCGCAGATGGCTAATTTTGGAAGGGGCCAGATGGTATTTTTACAAGCTGCGCCCTGGGAGTCTTAATGCTCAGTGACATTGGTGCTGGGGTGAGGCCCCCACCAGTGGCTCGGACCTGGGGCCTTCCCATCCCTCACCTGTCATGGCTCTGCAGTGTGATGGATGAATCGCGTCTGGTCACGTGATTTGTGGGTGGGCGGAGCACCAAAGAGCTGCATTAAGTCGGTCATGGTTCCTTCAAGTACACACTGCTAAGTTTAGGAGGAATATATTTTACTCAGAACTCTGAATTTCACAGTATACTGACTAAACTAAGTAAAAATGATACTTAAAACACTTAACTTTACTTTCTAGACCTAGGCTAGATATGTTTTAAGCTACAGCTCTAGTTCATTGTGATATTTATAATCAAAAAGCTACAAGAATAGATGCGTGGGTGAAGCCATAGAACATATTTGCTTGAAATTCTTGAGCAGGGATCTTATAAAGGGCCAGAAATAAGATGTGTGGTTCACATAGATAGTGAGCGTAACATCTGTATTACACGTAGGAGAGAAGTTTATAAAGGGCATTGGCAATAAATTCTTTGTTGCAGCTGTTTTTCAAGTAATGTAAATACCTTTCCTGTGATTATGTATAGCCTTGGAATGGCACCTTTTAACTAACCCATATGTGTTTGGTTTTCAATGGTTTTTTATATTCAGATGTATATATGGTGCTCACTTTAGGATCAGCAGTGTTGACCATTTATGCTGCATAGCTGTATTATAGCCTTATTAGTTGTGTGTGGTTGGTTGACCCTCTGGGTACACAAATGTTCGTCTGAGTGGTGTCTTACTCATTTGTTCATCAGTGAATGATTGTGCATGTGTTGTATGTCATATGTATGTCGTCACAGAAACGGGAGGGAGCGAATAACCATTACATTAAGATAATATTGGACCAAACTACTTACTTGCTCTAAACAGTTTCTTGTACCCCTTAACCTGTCTTCAGAAGTTGCATATAGTTACAGTAGTGTATAACTAAATATTGTGGGAAAGCAGTTAGTCTTGTATTTTTCTGTATGTGTGTATATATAATTATGTACCTCTGGAAATTCTATCTGTATTTAAAGATGTGACAATCTCGACACCGATGTTAAGGATAGCCGTGAGACTGAATTGAATTAAAGGAATCCCGACCACGTGAGAATTGATGTGTGTTAAGAGGGTACAGAAATATCCGCTGATTTGGTCAGTTGCTTCCAATGCTGGTTGATTTTCCTCATTGTTGTAAACATTGACAGGTATGTGACAAATGAGAAAAAAAAAATCCAAATAATAAAAGTGACATATTGGTGTTCAGCAATATGAACTGTGTCCCATGTTGTATTTCTTCCCGTGAAAGGAACTTTGTGGAACCCCTGCCCAGGTTAGACCCAGTTTTCCACATCTTGTACCTGCAGCTGTACGTGGCCAAAAAAATACAGTCAAGACTCTTCTCAATTTAAACTCATAACCACCAATCTCAGGGTGGGCCCCAGGGTAGGCCCCAAGGTGGCCCATTAATCATATTTGATTTCCCTAGTTGTCCCACTTTCCTCACTCGCATAGTCACCTTGATCCCTAACACTTGAATAAATTGAAGCAGTTAGAATTGGTGCTAACTCCCACCTCTACCTCCTACCTTCGTATGTGTCCACCTGTTCTTTCCTCCTGTTAGTGTGATCCCACCCCTCTGGGAGCCATGTGAACTCTGATCCAGTCACTCACTCCTCTTTCATTATCCATCTTCATTTCTTTACTACTTCATTCATTCCCAACAGTAAACAAAACAAACATGATTTTATTCCCCTATCTTAAGAAAAAAAAAAAAAAATTGTCCCCACTTCCCTCTCTAGCTCTTGCCACATTTCTCTATTCCTCTCTGCCACTCCTCTCTGGAACCCTTCCAATCAGACTGTTGCTGCCATCACCCACCAAAACTGTTTTTTGCAAGGTCAGCAATGACCTCCTTGTGCTACATCCAGTGGACAGTTTTTAAAAACTGTTATTGAGATACAGTTCACTTATTTACAGTGGCCCATTCAATGCTATTTAGTTATATTCAGAGTTCTGCAACCATTACCACAAACAAGTTTAGAATACTTTCATCACACCAAAAAGAAACGTCATTCCTATTAGCAGGCACGTTCCCTTTCCCCAGTTCCCCTCCCCTACTCACATCCCCAGCTCCAGGCAGCCCACCAATCCAGTGGTTAGTTTTCATGATACCATTTGATGAGTTGACCATTCTTGTCCTGTGTTGCTGCTCTGCAGTCCACTGGTTCCTCCTCTCCCAACCGCTGAACTTGGAAGGCCCCAAGCTTAGAGTTTGAACCTTGCATTCAGTTTCTTGATGATCTCACTCAGTCTAACCTCCATATGCTGATAGAGCCCAAAAATGTATTTAGCTTACATCTCTCCCAGAACAGACTCCAACTATGCATTTGACTTCTCTACTTGGATATCGTCTAATAGGCATCTCAATGTTTGAAATCTCACAACTCCTAACATTTCCCCTTAAATCACACCTACCCTGCTGCTATTCCCCATCTTGATCAATGTATGACAACTTCAAATTTGTTAGTTTTGCACAAGCCAGAAATCCTGATGTCATCCTTTACTCTGTCACCCCAACACCCAAACTTAACCAGCCTTTCACCACCACCACCCTGGTCCATTATCACTTACCTGAATCATTGTAAATGCCTCTTAAAGGGTCTCTGTGCGTTTGCTCTTTCTCTCATCTCTACTTTGCAGTATAAAGGGTTCTTCTAAATCTAAGTCACAATGATGTTTTGAAAGGTGTTTAATTTCCAAATATTTGGTGATTTTCAACATACATTATTTCTGTTACTAATATCTAGTTTAATTCCATTTTGGCCAGAGAACATGCTTTGTATAACTGAAATACTTTTAAACTTATTGAAACTTTTTTAATGGCCCAGCATGGGGTTATCTTGGTGAATGTTCTGTGAGCACTTGAAAAACACTGTTGGTGGTGGAATATTCTATAAATGTTAATTAGCGCAAGTTGGCTATTATTGTTCAAATCTTCTATATACTTACTGATTTTTCTGGTATCAATTATTTAGAGGCATGTTGAAATCTGCAGCTATACTGTTTTATTTATTTCTCCTTTTGGTTCTAACAGTTTTGTTTTGTGGTATTTGAAACTCTGTTCTGAGTTACATACATAATTAAGACTTATCTTCTCTTGATGAACTAACCCCATTATCATGAAGTGATCCTCTTTACCCTTAGTAATATTATCCATTCTGAAATCTGTGTGAGACTGATAATACCACTTCATCTTGCTTTTGACTTATGCGAGTTTATCTTTTGCTTTCCATTTAGCCTACTTGTGTCTTTTAGGATAGCAAAATATATACTCACACAAGTCAAAAGAAAGATGGAGTGGTATTATCAGTATCACACAGATTTTTTTTTTGCTATCCTCTTAGCCTACCTGCGTCTTTTATTAAGGAGCTTTGGTAACATAGTGCCGAAGGGATTTGACTGCTAAATGGAAGACTGGCAGTTCAAACCCACCAGCCACTCCTCAGAAGGAAGGCTGGGCAATCTACTTCTGTAGTGATACTGCCTCAGAAACCCAAGGAGGGGTTGTTATGAGTTGGATCCGACTCGATGGTGGTGCGTTAGTGAGTTTAGTGGCGTGGTGCCTAACACATTTGACTGCCAATCAGAAGGTGGGCAGTTCCAACCTACTAGCCACTCCGCAGAAGGAAGACTGGGCAATCTGCTTCCATAAAGATTTACCTCCTTGGAAATCCAAAGGGGATCACTATGAGTTGAAATTGACTCGATGGCAGTGAGTTTGTTTGTTTTTCCCCCTGGTGTCTTTTATCACGGGTTTTTTGTTGACAACACATAGTTGGGTCTTGCTCTTTTATCCAGTCTGAAAATCTTTGCTTTTTAATTGGAGTGTTTAGACTAATTACATTTCAAGTAATTATCAGTGATTGGGTTTAAAAATAGTCCTTCTGGCTGCTTCCTATTTGTCCATGTGTTTTTTGTTTTCCCTCTTTTACTACCTTTTAACTTTCGAGTATTGAATTAAGAACTTTTATGAGTCCATTTTATCTCCACTATGGACTTCCCGGCTATATCTCTTTATTTTAATTTTTAGTAGTTGCTGTAGAGTTTACAGTATATAACTTTTAATATATCAATGTCTACCACCAAGTAATATATCATTTTATGTATAGTGTAAGAAACTTAAATCTGTATGCTTCCATTTTTCTCTTCTTGTTCTTTTTGGTGTTGGCATACATTTTACTTTTGTGTATGTATACATCTTACTATATTATCATTTTTTGTTTTAAACAATTATCTGTTTAAGGAATTAAAATGAGATAAAGTCATTTTATCTATATATTTATCATTTCCAGTACTCTTCATTTCTTTGTGTAGATCCACATTTTGACATGGTATCATTTTCCTACAGAACTCCCTTTACTATTTTTTATAATGCAAGTCTGCTGGTATTCTGCCACCATTTGTCTGAAAAAGTCTTGACTTCAACTTCAGTTTTGAAGGATATTTTCACTGGGTATAGAATTCTAGGCTGACAGTTTTTTATTACAATACTGAACACTGAATTTTACATTGCTAGGTGCTGGGATTTATTTTCATTTAAAAAGTGTTGGGTTTCGTTTTGACTTACAGTTGCTTAGAATCAGTTGGATCCCTTTGGACCTTGCTTTAAAACTTTTTCTGGGCTAACCCAGAGTAGTCTTTAGGGATAATATGCCCCATGACTGAGGCAATGCCTTTCTAAGACTCTCCCAAAGTCTTTCCATTCTGGCTGGCAGGAACATGAACCACCCCAGCCCTGTGTAAGTTCCGAGGATGGTTTGGCTTACTGCTTTCCAGTGGTTCTTTCCCTGGCCTCAGGTAGTTTTCTCGCAATGTGCTGATGAGTACTCAGTGGAAGACTATGCAAGTGTCTTTAGCTCACTCAGTCTCTGTGCAGCTTCCTCATCTCTGGGTACTCTGCTGTACAAATTCTACCCACATTGGTCTCCCTGAACTTGGAACTCTCTCCTCAACTCAGCAAAACCCCCAGAGTCTATGTGAGGTCCCCCTTCCTGTGTTCTGGCAACTGCCTCTATCTGGTCATCTCTATCTGCTATCTATTATCTGAAATCCCTAGGGCCAGATGCTATAGAATTTGGAATTTTCTAGATATTAGGAAGCCAATAAGATAAATGCATATACTCATTAAATAATAGCTCCAGTGCAGTTTAAAGTGGAACCCTATAATCAGACTCCTTAACATGACTTTGCTAGGCTCTGGTACTAAAAGGTGAAAGGCAAAGTCAAGACAGCATCATGCACTATCTCATCTCCCTCTCCAGTGGGCACCCAAGGAGCAGGCTCTAGGTCTGATTGGAGTATGTCCTTGGACAGACCCTTTACCTTTTGACCTTCAGTTGTCATCCATCCCTTTCTGTGGGGCTCTATCAACATAGCAGCCATGTGCTTGGGCTTTTTGACACATGGATTTTGCCTTGGAGAAGAGGTTTACACTCAGTGCCTCTTCTGTCCAGGGATTCTTCCGGTGGAAGGCAGGTCACTGGGGAGGTTGTGGGAATTTCTGGTGATATGCTTATAAAGGCATTGAGGGCAAAATGAAGCACTCCTCAGAAAAGGGAGAGTGGGTCCTGAAGAGTGTGTTAAGACAGCAGGGCTGGGAGGTGTCCTCAGAACTGGGGAGGGGGCAGGGCAGCTCAGGGAGGCAATCGCCTTTTCCAGACCCTGCCTTCCCTCTCAAGCTTCACCCTATCTTACCATGTCTACTTTTCTCTTGATGCTTCTGGAGAGGCCTGCACGGGACCTGCTTCTAGATTTCTCTCCTTGCCCCATCTCAGGGCAGCATCTGGTGCCACTGACTACAGACAGCCTTCACAGTGTCTCAGATTCATCTGCTAGCCTCCCACTGTGGAGCTGACTTTCAAAGACAAGGAAACTGATCAGCAGTGACTGCATGTCAGGCGCTCACAGAGCTTCTCTCAGGAGTCCCAGTCCTGTGCTGTCAGCCTATGTCTGAAACCCATTGTTTTATATATTTTGTTTGCGTTCCTAGTTTTCTAAGGTTGAAGAGTCAATCCTGTTTCCATTGCTCCCTTGTGGCCAGAAGTCTAAATGGCGTGTGACTCCTTAAAGTCTTCCCACAGCTTTCCATCCCAGATTAGTAAGTAGATGGGATGGCTTACTATACCTCGTTATGAGAGGTCCTTCTCATCCAGAGGCTAAGACTTGGTCTCACATTTTCCAAAGAATTCCAGTTTGCCCTCTTCCCTGGTA